AAGTATATCCCAATTATGTGGATACTGGTTATTTAATATTTCAGGGTGGACGTTGGTTACTAAATGTGTTAGGGTGGACATTGATCACTAAATGTTTCAGGGTGGATTTTAATCACTAAATGTTTCAGAGTGTAGGTTGATCATACAACATTTCAGAATGGTGATTGGTTACTAAATGTTTCAGGGTGGACATTGATCACTAAATGTTTCAGAGTGAACACTGGTTATTAAATGTTTCAGTGTGGACATTGGTCATTAAATGTTTCATGGTGAGCATTGGTTACTAAATGTTTCATTGTGGAAATTAATCACTAAATGTTTCAGGGTGGTCATTGATCATTACATGTTTCAGAGTGGACATTGGTTACTAAACGTGGTGCATTACGATGTTTCTAGCAGAACAGACCACATGTTTTTATTATGTTTTCGTGATATTTTTCATTTTTATTATTATTACTGTTTTGGATCCAACATCCCTTTTATTTATTTATTTCTCCAAAACGCATTGTAATTAGTATTAATTATTGATTGTACTTGAAATTAATATTTTAGGTTTAAACTTTATGATAGAATTTTTATCATTAATCCTAGATCTATTGGTTTTGGGTGCTTCATCGTCTTCCAGCGTTTAAACCGTAATGTTTAATTTATATGGCGTAATTAGCAAAATACTTTGAGGTTGCATTGTATTAAAAAACATCAAGTGTTGTAATGTTATCTCACCCATTCCTACCTTGTATACTTACTTTTTGGTTCTCCCATTCCTACTTCCTAATTTTTTTATTTAAAAATATTTCACACTTGTATTCAACGCAACAGATGGCGCGACAATACATTATTATTGATGTTTTTCACCTTTGATAAGGACCAGACATTTGACGATGTAAGGAATAACTTTTAAAAAACCAGTTTTTCGCACGAATCAATCTATAAGGCTTTACCAAGAAGCAGATTTGAAAATAATATAAAAATCAAATTAAGTCAAAATTATAATCACGAACCACTTACAGGAGATGACTAAATATGCATACACAAAATTTTGCTTTCTTAAAATACTAGAAAAGGGGTAAACATTCTTCATTGATATATTGTTACTATAATATAATTAATTTTTAGAAAACATGTTCACAAAACATTTATTTAGATTTAATTTTCAGAAGAAGAATTATTCAGCATTTAGTGTCATATGACAGGCCCTCCCAATGGTATGTCTGCGGACTTACGACGCTAGAAACCGGGTTTTGATACCCGTGGTGGGCAGAGCACAGAGAGCCATTTTGTAATTTTGAGCTTAACTTCAAACAAACAAACATATGACGGACATTCAGCTAATCATGTAAAGTGTTTTTGTACTACAAGCTCTGATGAAGCCGCAAGGGTGAAAAATTTGTTTTTGTTTTGTTCTTTAACTTTATTGCTGAAATATTTGAATCGTTTGTCAAATCAAAATGTTTGCTTTCTGAAAACCTAAGCAGATAGCCATGGTATGAAGATGATCATCAATTACCAAAATGAAAGAAATTTTAAATAGGAAGATAAACGCTAGTGAAACAGGTAAAAGGCGGAAAAGAATAAGTCATAGTTTTAAAGGTGCAAATGGATATGATACTATTTCCAAGTAAAAGAAGATCAAGGTTATCCAAGCCATCTTGGACTTGAGATGGCCTGGTGGTTAGGGCACTAGACTCGCAATCTGCGGTTCGTGGGTTCGAACTCCGTCACCGAACATGATCGCCCTTTCAGCCGTAGGGGCGTTATAAAGTGACAGTCAATTTATTCGTTAGCAAAAAAGTAGCCCAAGAGTCGGCAGTGAGTGGTGTTAACTAGTTACCTTCCCTCTGCTAAGCTAGGGACAGCATATAGCCTTCGTGTAGTATTGTATGAAATTCAAACCAAGCCATCTGAATTTTAGCACCACTACTAAATAGGCAAGAAATTTTACTGAAGTTATTCTTCTGTGTAGGAATAGGAATTTAAATGCTACATAAAAGTTAACATTCTGTGTCGAAGAATAATCAAATAATTAATAGTGTATTGCTAAAACTAACTGGTAAAAGGTCATTAACAATAAATTCTTTAATCACAAAAGATTTCATTTCTTTTTTTTTTATAAAAAAAGTCGTTATTCGAAGAAACTAGTCTACTGTAGAGAGAGTAGTGAATCAAAGAAAAGAGTGGGCCTCTACGTCATTTACGAATTATTTCTTTTGTTCACTGAACTCAAATTTACCAAATAAGGCCTCTTTGTGTTGATCAATTTACTCAGTTTCTTGTTTTTTAATTTCGAAAGTGGAAGACAGTGTTACTTGTTACACACACTGTCTTCCCATAAAATAAAAACAGATCTGCGTTGTTTACTACAAGACACCTGTGTTATAAAATCGTTGTTCTTGAGAATATACTTATCGCGCTATCTTTCGTTGTAAAATAGATCTATTAGGATTTCATTATTATTTTCTCAAAGTTTGAACTACAAATATTGGAATAAATAGCTGTTTTACGACCTAGATAATTTGATGGGTATGACTCAACTTCTCGTTCTCGTACAAATTGATTTTGAATATATTGTTGCGTCATCGAGTCACATGACTACAGTGACGCCACGTTTCTAGAACTATCCCGTATCTTGGCGAATGCTCTAGTAATTACTAGATGGAGGGTAGACTGGTATATAAAAGAGGGGAATGTAATGTGTATATAGATAGTGAGTAATTGAACTGCAGTCAGAGAGCACGAGAGACGTAACAGCGTTTGTTTAGCGCGATTGTTGAAGTTGAGTGTATTGGTAAAGTTATATTCGGAAATAATAAACCAGTTTTTACTAAGAAAGAACTTGTGTCGCTTAAGTTTCGTCGGAACGAAGTTACGGAAAAAATTAATTAACAACCGGTGACGTAACAATATTTTCTAAATGTAGCAATATACGTGTCGTCATAGTTCATATACTTAATGCATTACCCTAGAGTAAAAACAATTTTTGAAGTCATTATAAGAATTACTTCTTAAGCATTCGACTTAAACCGGAAAAAAGAGGTCGTATCAGTAAAATGCAAAAAACTATCACTTACAACTTAGATGGTTTAATCTCGTCACTTTATGATAATCACAGACGAGATAAACGACAGAAATTAAATTTTGTATTTTGAATAAGACGTGTGTAAAGCCATAAATATACAATTTAAGATAATTAATCACTAACTATAAAAGACTTATTCCCTTTTTCACTCTGTCGAGAACGCTTTCACGCTCCTTTTTGGTAATACTGAACAATATGCATCGTCGTTTAGCAACAAAATTATCATCTAATTGTTCTTAGGCCAACTATGGTGCTTATGTTGAATGATCAATATGCATGCTGATGTGTTTGAAATATTTTTTTTTATAACTTCGGTGATATAACAGCAAATCAGTTTAATTCAGAAGTTATGTGACATTGAGTTGTAGCCAAAAGCAAAATGAAATTTATTAAGTAGTATTTCAGCTAAGCCTTACCTTACGAATAGACCTACTATTACTAACGTTATAGAGTCAGTGTTTAAAAAAGTGGGGAAAAATATTAATTAGCTTTTCTTTATGTTTTAAGGCCAAATAAGTAGTGTAGATATATTATCTATTTGACCTTAAAACATAAAGAAAAATAAACGTTTATTACTACCAAATATATTTTATCATTTGTACCGCCGAAAGAGTTGAAAATTTGAGTCGGAATGTCCGCACTATGTTTTCTACTTCTTGACTTAGAATACACTGAAAACGCTCAAGATGCTATTTATGTGCACACGTACTTTGTTCGCGATAAAATTTTCTTTTTCTGCGTCGTTTTTACTAAAAATGTGGTGATTAAAAAATTACTTCGAGACTGATGAAATAAGTGAAGAGTAACTGCATTTTGGAGGTACAAATAAATTCGTTTTAGTTACATTTAATATTTTTTTAGTTTATCATTCAACAACGGTTTCCCGTCATTCTTGACGAGCTTTTATACTAGGAATAACAATAATTAAAAAGCATTTAAAGTTTACTTGATTTTGTTTTTTACAAATATTAGGGCTGTTGATTTCTGTTGGTTCATCAGTTTTCGGTGTTTAAACTACAAATTTTAAAGTTTTATTCTGTGTATATAAATAATAGTTCAGAAAAACTTTTGTTCCACGATAATCAGGTGCTTATGGGATTTTCTCACCATTCATCATCATCAATGAAACATTTATATTTCAGCCTGACGTTTTTGATATTAAACAAAAGGCCTCTTGGGTAGTGACATGGCCGAGACAAAAGATAAATCTGAAATGCTGTTTTTACACATCTTCGATCTTGATCCTAAATAAGCAAAACAAGGGGAATCTAAAAGAAAAAACAAAACAAAACAGCCTGGACTGGATTCCGCATTATATTCAATAAATAAACGAACCCCCCCCCCCATGATAGAACGCGTTACAACGAAAGTTTTTGTCACTAAACCCCATAAGCATCTGCCCAGAATAAAAGTTATAGATAAAAAAAGTTTATTCTTGAGTTACGTATCGTTTATTTAGATATGTTATTCCGATAAACACCGTAAAAAAAGAAGAAAAATAGCACTGAAATGCTATCATGGATTATGGGAACCATCTCTTTCTTTATATTATTAATAGTTGTCCCTTACGATAATATTATTGTATAGGTAAAGAAATTCTGTAAGTTAATTGACTTAAAATATTATCAAAAGTTTCTTTTTTTTTAGCTAGTTGTTTGCTATTGTAACTTTACTGTACCAGTTGAGGATTGTACAGATTATGAGTTCTACAAGTTAAAATACATATACTATTTCTTTTACGATCCATAGATTAGTCAATATCGTTGGAACTTTGATTCCCATCAAATGAATCTGTTGCTGTTGTTAAATTTTATTTATAGTTGGTGCTTGAATAATTGGCTTTTTTCTCTACATATATTCTGAAATTGAAATAAGCAATGCCTTTTGCGTTTTTTTTTAAATAAAATATTTCTATCAGATGGCGCACAAGTACGTTTGCGGCGTAGGTAGTTGGTAAAAGAAGAGAAAGAAGTGAGGTATGTTTTACTATTCTAAATTACATTAGTTTTAAAAACCAAAATACATTATTGTGTATTACGTTTATCAAAATATGTTTTTAGTCTATAATGTACCATAGCAAATAACAGCATAACAGTTTTTGCTTCGTTGGCTGCTATTGCTAGTATTAATATGTAATACTGATGCTTAACACTAACAGTTAACTTGAATAACTGTCACACTCACTCGTATTCGCAGTGCCAGAGTGAGTGTCGTTGTCGAGAAAAATGTAAATTTTAAGGTATGACTTGTTAAAATCAAAAGTAGATTGTAATTTTTTTATATTTTATCAGGCAGTGATTTTTAAGTTTTTAGTTTTAATTTATGCGCCCTAGAGAAATTTATGATTTTATTGTCATTTCAAAATAGTTATTTTTATTTATGGTTATTGACATGTTACATTATGATATATGTAACTATAAGTTATAACACATACACACACACACACACATGTGTGTGTGATGAAGTAGGGGTTTTGGTGATTTAAAATAATGAAAATAAAAAAAAATTCACACACCATTGGATTCCACAGTCAAAGTATTAGATTAAACTGCAACTTCAATTATGTAGTTAATAATTAATGAAAAACAATTAAGAATTGTACCTCTAAAGACTAAAGCAACCTTTTGCACCATGAGACCTTTCCATTGAGCAATGTCAACAAAATGTTAGTGATTGATAACAAATTATTGCTTTACCTGCTAACCTGAGACTGCATGCAAGACGAGATAAAATGTAGTCCCAATAAAATCCATCAATTTCAAACTTGTACACATGGATTCATATTACATGGATAAATGAAATAAAAACTGTCAACAACTAAATGTTAAAAATGAAGTATTAGCTTACCTATGTACCTATGAAATCATGGGAGAGATTTTGTAATCACATTGGATGTAAACTTTAAATACCATGATTGACAAATACATACCAGTAGTAACCTCCACCTGTTCTATGTCATGTCATGATATAATTGGTACATTGTTCATACCACTTTTGTATAGACTATTGTAGCACACATTCTTTCACTCTAGCCACACCTAAAGATATGACATAAAGCAAACTGTTGTTAGGACAAAATATTGTTTGTTTACACCCAATGATATGACATAAAACAAGTTGTTACCAAGACAATGTATAGTCTGTTTACAATCTTCATTCATCATTGTTTGTCATGCTGTAGGTTCAGTTTGGGCATAAATAAATATGTATCGGTTTATGCATTATTTAATAAGTACTAGAAAGTTTATTATATGGTTTTGTTTCAACAAATTCAATGGCTAAAATGAATTATAAATGGTTTTAAAGTCCTATTTGTGCTTATTCAAATGGAAAATGCTTCTGAATCAATTTAACTCGCTCAGAACAAAGTAGAGCATGAAGAGAGCTATTGTTTGATGTATCACTCATCCTTAGTGGTCCAGTCAATTTGAACTGATACTGATTTTGGTTTTAACATTTGCTCACTGGTCACTGCCAAATGGCAGAAGAAAGGTTTAGTGATCATCGTAATTTTTTTTTATTGTTTTATAACAAGTGGAAGTATGGTTACTTGTATTAGTACTGTAGACATTTTTCATTTGTTGGTTGTGGTACAATAATTAGTATTTTGTTTATCAGAGATTTATGTATTTGCAACTGTGATTTTGCTTTCACATACTTCCATGGCCGGGAACTATAATTATCTGGGATTCCCTACATGCAATGGGGTGTGTGATGTAATGTTCTGAATAATGCAAAATTGAGTCAAGGATGACTTGGTGATAAATGTTACTGAAATGTTTCAAAACGTCATCCTCTACACTTTTTTTTTTCTATAAGAGACAGTAGCTGTCCATTCCAGTGTACTCATCAATACTGTGCAAGTTGTACAGGATTACATAATAAAAAGAAGGCAAAAACTAATATTAAGCTTTACTTTGGTATATATATGACTAATGTGAAATAGGATGCATTTAGCAAGACCCATACCGAGTGTCAGTGTTATGCACAGTGCACATTGAACCCACTGACTTGGGGTTCTCTATTAGGTTTATACCTTTGAGCCCAGGCTTGGCTAGTGCTAGCAATGAAATAAATGTGAATCAGCATTTAACTTAAGGCTTTATGCCTAAGAAAAAGTGTGGCTGTAGTCCATCACTCTGTATAGTTATGAGTCTGTATGTGCAAATATTAGGTTGCCAAGAAATTAATGTAACTTTTTTCTAGATGAAAAAACCTAAACAACTTATATATTGAAACAAAACATTTATTAAATGAAATAGTTTCCATTCTTATTGATGATGCTTTTCCATCTTACAATCAGGTTGTTAATGCCTTGATTAAAGAAATTACTTGTCTTTGAAGCAAAAAACATGTCGATATCCTCTATAATATCTTCCACATTTGCATATATTTTCCCATTAAGATGGTGTTGCAGCGAACGAAAAAGATGGTAATCTGATGGTGC